TAGTGGGAGGTGTCCCTGCCTGTGGCAGGGGGAAGAACTGGGAGATCTTTAATGTTCCTTCCCATCCAAACCACTCTGTGGTTCTCTGTTATGTTCAGGAGGGCTTGTGGATTTGGAGGGCTGGACCTCAGAGTGCATTCCTGCCCCTCTTCCTGCATTTCAGATCTTTCCTCAGGTGTTTCTGTGAGGCCTTTTTGGGTCTCTTGGCAGTTTTCTTGAAGTAAAAAAAAAAAAAAAATTCCCAGTTTTTTCTCTTCCATAAATGCAGTAAAATAAACCAGATGATTTTCCTTTTCCATTTGTGGAGAGTCAGGCTGAGCCAGGAGGGGCCTGTGTGGAAACCCTGGTGAGAGAAAAAGGCACAGGGAAGGGAATGGTTTCCATAATGGTACCAGGGGAGTGTGGTCAGTGCTGGTCTGGATCTCAGGCCTCTGACAGAAAGGGAAGTGCATCAGCACCTCTAATTCCCAGCCCTGTTCTTTGCTGGCAGCCTGCCCTCCTTTAAACAGCCCCTGGTGTAAGGGAAGCCAGCAGAGGATACGTTCAGGCTGCAGTATCTGATCTCAGGGATTTAATGTCTCTTCTCCCTCTCACTTCCCATCCCAAGCAGACCCTGAGAGGTGTCAGTGCAGAGGCACAGAGCTCAGATGCCCTTCAGTGAGGCTCAGGCTGGAGGGGCAGCCCCTGCTCCCTTCTCAGTGGTGATGGGTGTGGAACACATCCATCCTGTACCAGCAGGACGTGGTGTTTCCTCAGTGCCATCCATGGAATATCAAAATACTGGCCCAAGACTAAGCAGGGCACTGGCTTCCCAAACACCCAGAGTTGCTTGGGACCTTGATATATTCCCATCCTCTTATCCTGGTGTCAGTCTGACTGACTGCACACCCAAAATGTCCTCAGCTCTGCCTGGAAACGCCGTGGAAGGGTCTGAGAGCTGGAGCTTCCCATCTCAGCCAGAGAGGGGAAAAAAACCTAATACAGGATGAGGCAGTTTGCTGATGAAATATTCATGTGGGCCACAAGGGAGAAGGGCCTATTATTTTTACTTTAAGCAGAAGAAAGAAGCAGGCACTGCTGGCTGGTGTCCCCCACCCGCTGCCACCAGTGTCACCTTGACAGAGCAGCAGCAGCTCTGGGAGGCTGTGGGGAGGAGGTTTTGTCTCTGTTCCTTCAGTCCTTGCTGTGTGTGGACATAAAATGCTCAGAAACCTGCGGATGTGCATCCCCTGAGCCTCATGTGGCCCCAGGCAGCCCCTTCCCCTCAGTCCCAGGGGAGATGTGATTCCAGGTGCTCAGGCTGGCTCAGGGGCTGCAGGGACCACTGCCCATCCCCAAGCACCCTCCTCTGTGCTGCTCCTGGGCTCCTCGGGAGTCTTGAGCTGCCCCAGGGCAGGTTTAGGTTGGCCATGGGGCAGAAGTTGTTTGCAGAGAGAGGGATCAGCCCTTGGAATGGGCTGCCCAGGGAGGGGGTGGAGTCCCCGTCCCTGGAGGGGTTTGAGCAGAGCCTG